AATCAAGACAACTACTATGGCAGACGACTTCGGACTCAGTGCGTTCTACATAGTCTCCCTGAGCACAAGACCAAGTTGCGACAACGAGGTCAACCAACTTCTATACATACGAGATTACCTAGACCAAGTCAAGCTTCTCCTTGGGTTGTTAAACCTTAATGAGCCTAGACTGAAACGTTAGGACAGGTGGTTTCCTAACCTGACTTACACGCTTACAAGTCTACACCTCATTAGCTCAACCATGGTTGCTTACGGAATTACGCAATCTCAGTTTGGGTCATTAATCCTTGATGGCCAGAGCTTGACATTAAGCTTTTCTGAGCATTTTGATTTAGGACCGGTATTCTGTATAGCCATTAACACACACACAGGCACGAGCAAAAGAAACATGACCAATCAAAAAGATAATTAGCCATACCATTCTATATTTATCTTTTCCTACACAGTTTCGTTTTTCAGTTATTAGTATATATAAGAGGTTAGGTAGAGCCAGAAATTCTTCTTAACTTAGTGTTGACGTGAGACTTTTACAAGAATGAGTTCCGGTTCTGATGATGTATATCAAAGGTTGAACGAAGTCTTAGTCCGTTTTCATTCGAAACGAGGAAGGATGTCTTGTGGACTGCGTCAGCCTGAACGTGCTATTCAAGCCAATCAGCTGCAGTACAACGAGAATCAGCCATCGTCTTCTGGTGGGATAAAACTACGAATCTCTGCTTCATGCATATTCATAAGAAATGAAAGTCTATGAGCTATGTTCACTCTATTTCGACTGGTAGTTGAAGTTTCCCACAATGATATGAATAGGCATGAAGTTCCCAATGAATTTAATATAGCCTTGCTTTCCCAAAAAATATTCTCATCCAGGGTGGATATCGGTTTCAACTTCGCTTGGGTCTTATCAAAACCCCCAGCGGAACTCGAACCATGGCAGTGCAGCGTATAATCTCGACATGTTAACCACTATGCGACATTACCACGTGTGCCCTTTACTACTGACAGACAACGACTGCAATTTACTTAAACTTGAATGAATAGGTCCCATTATGCCATTGAATTTTACTTTATCTTGCTTCTCAACTGGGTTTTATATCCAGAGTAGTCTGCAATTTCAGAGCCACAAAGGTCTACTCAGTATTCCATACAGGAATAAAAACCAGATTGTGTGCGTCAACTAGCAATATGTGTATTATCATGTTTCACTTATTAAAGAACTACGAATACAGCATTTCTAGATCTAATATATGCGTTCTACCATCGAAACAAGTAAAATCTGAGGGAATGTTTGGCACTATAATCGTTAATTCAGGAGCCTTTGAATTTTAGCTCTCGTTTACAAGCTACCTATTGCTGGACCAGCCTATGCTGACATGAATAGCTTTATATTTAACTTCTACTTCCTCTCTTTGATTCCATACTTATTTTTATCATTTTCTTCAAAATAAAAAAAATATCAACATAATTTCTAGGTATGAAGACCAAGATGTTTTGGCCTCTAGTATGGTCGCAGTCAATCCACTTAGAATGCAACTATTAGTCCTCTTATCACCTTAAACGGAATAAAGTGAAAACACCTCATATAAGTAAATCTAGTTTATGAGCAGTGCATTGTCTGCTTGTGATTATTAGGGGATCAATAAAATAAAAAATAAGGGAAATGTTCTTCTTATGATACAAATTTGTATGATATAAATGATCATAAAATTGCCCTAACCTATATTCGGTGTGAGTAGGATTCTAAGCAATTAGTAATTGTTGAATACCAATTTACTCACCCCTGGTTGCTTCAGGCGACTTAAGGACTGAGTGTGAAGCTTTTTTCCCCAGTGTTATGAGTAGGCCTCAAGATACCATTGTGGTTTAAACAATAATCATATGAAAATAAGTAATATCGTCGATTGTAATAGCATAAAAATATTTATCCTATGTAAGTAGAGCTTCGAGACTACCAGCAAATCAGATGAGAAGAGCCTTTGGGAACGCCAGGCTATGCAAAATTGGATCGAAGCGTCAGATCTACCCATATCATTGTGGGAAGATTCTACTACATGTCCTTCATCACCTTAAACGCAATAGGGTGAATACATCTCATATAAATATTTTTTTGTCGAAACTCCAACTATATATGTAACTTGGGAAAGGGCATGAAATTCGTATTGGCTCTGTAAGAAAATGACAGTCTTGACTATGTTACTATGTCGTAATGTGTCTCTGGAATTTGCACAATCCTGTTTCGAATTCCGATGGAGGTTCTAATGATACCTGAGCAAGGTCAAAACTTAAATCCACAATAGATGAGTAAGTTGATTAAAATTAAGTGGCATCGTTAGGCATGTTCTCATCATTAGGGAAAAAAATTCTTTATGAGTATTTAGTTTATCTTAAGTTACTTAGAGTAATTGATTTATAAACAAAATACTGATAGTCTCAGCCTACTCACTTCGAATAAAAATATGAGATACTTAGAAGATCCATTTAGCCATTTTACAAATATAACTATGTAATCACGTGTTAGCGAGCCAACTTTCTTAAAGTATAATACAACTAGTTATAGTGATAAGGAGATTCTATGCGAGATAATATAAAATATTGTTGGCTTGACCTCGGTTTCGCAACCTGGTCGGGACAACAGAGAGACCTTATGGAACCTAACTAGTGCGGCATCCTCTGTCATAGCATTCATGATTTATAGCGTCGGACCGTTGATTTGGTACATACTCAGACTCTTCGCAAGCATCGCATTTGGTATCATCAGGGAGAGGTGCCAGCGTTAGCCTAAAGTAACAACTTATCAAAGTGCCGAGTGACGATAATCCTCCTGACCAATTTTCTGTTGAACCGTTGTGGCAT